AGCAAATAGTTGAAGAAATTGAGTGATATCGTTGAGTGTCGTAAACAGTGGTCCCTCGACATCTCATCGCAGCTTATTTGCTGTTCCGTAAACCCCTTCTTCAGTAGTTCACTGAATGGGTAACCGAGTTACAATAAGCAAAACCGTCAAGGGACAATGTTAGTGGTAAATGACGATTTTGCAACATGAACATTAATTGCGCAATATAAATCCAGTAAACAAATACAATCATTAGATGGGGCAATGTGCAGGAAAAATTCAGACCACCAATTTCATCGGATTAGAATCCATTTGAAGCCCTTCATTCTTATCTCCGTCCAAGCATCAAGTGTCAACTGCGCGCTAGACGAGACTTTATGGTGCCACTCAAACCACTCATATCGATGATCATCAACTGGAATTTGGCATTAATAAAAAACGTTTTTCACAATCAATTGTAATAGGGATGCGATAGTAGGGGGACACTTGGTTGGCACTTACCCCCAGTTGTTCCAGACGTGTGACCACAAATTCGTCCAACCTTTCTCCGGAACATTGATTCAAAAAAGTCGCCAATCGTGTGGTCGACTGGTCGGCCACGGTCGGTACTGACAAAAGTTGCTCATACGCCTGACTCGTGCCTTGGTACCACGCGTTCCACACACGTACCCCGTTCAAAAACGCTCGATTCACATACCGATGAAGCACCTCTGCGGCCTTACGAGCACGACCTGCCATTCCAGTTAATCGATGCTCCAATGAGACAATGTCGCTCTCAAGGAGTACAGCTCCTGTACCGGTGGTCCATTCAGAACGTCCAGTATCTGGTTGAGGTTCTGCACCGTCCTTGATAATCGGTTTGCTAAGGTCCTTCTGCTCTCCCATTGGTTCACCCTCGTCCACCTTGGACGTCATCGGTTGATCCAGACGCGCCAGGCGATGATGATAACGACTTGGACCGCTAGCTAATTGCTGAGCGCGACCATGTAGGACCAGTGCGTGGTCATGCAATACGGTTAGGCGGAACCGTATTGCTTGTATCTCACTCAGGCGGTGTAATCGCACGTTAGATTGAGCTGAATGAGCTTGTAAAAATTGGTTTTCCGACTCCGAAACATGATCCGTTTCGACGGGATCGGTACTATCCGTATTCAACCGTGTGCAGCACACATTCAGCTCGGTCATACAGGCGTCTACCATGACACGGAGACGTTCAACATCTGCGAACAACTGCTCACATCGAGTGCCTTCGTCTTGCCACTGGGCCAGCACATGCTCGGCTGATTTACGTAACCGATCTATACGCGCATGGAATGCCTGAACCATACCGATAACGTTCTCTCGACCGGGCAAATCGGTCTCAATGCGTGCGGACAGGCTGGCTAACAGGTTCTCGTAGTAGACAATCTCGGTGGCATATCGATCAAGCATAGTTTGCGGATTGTCACTGTCTGCATCCGAACTACCCCAATCAAATACGACACTGGTTAGAGTTGAACCGGCCGTATTGGGTACACCGGAAATCGGGGGAGGCACAGCGGCTGAGATTGCCAACTGAGCACTGCACCGTTCCAGTTTAATCTCCATTGGATCAATCCAAGCGGTGAGTTCCTTCAAACCATCCTCCACATAGGCTAAAGCCGAACAACGAATTTCGAGTTGCTGGCCAGCCGCACATAGTCGACGTTGTAACCGTTGCCATCGATCGAGTACTTGATCTCGCAGTAAGTCCGCTGTGCCGTGACTCACCGTCACTGCTACCGCCGCCGCCGCCACCGGCTTTGTGATTTCGAGTTGATCACNGTCTCGGTGATAAATTCGCGGTAGACGTCTGCAGCCGCAATACAAACCTGTTGAAGTCTAGATAACAACTCATGTTGTTTACTGGCCATTTGGGCTTCAGCCGCGCGCACAATATTCAATCGCTCTCGGGCTTCGACATGCGTATCCACAGTAACAAAACGAGCAACATCTGCTTGTTCAAATGCATCCATTGCGGCTGCGATTATGTCAGCATCATCAGTGATCTTTATCCCTGCATCTCCGGCGCTTTCGCCAGTCTCACTCTCCTCAGCCTTCTTCTTCTCCTCCGTCGGAGACGTTTCCATCAACGATTTGAAATGCTCCCTAGAACAAGCCAAACCGGTCTCTTGTTCTGTAGTTTCTACGAAAAAGCTCACCCGATCCAAGGCCTGTTCGCGCTGGGACAGAATTTGAGACAGTGCTATACACCGACGTCCCAGTTGACCCAACTGATTCGCACTGGACACAATGGTTTGTACCATTTGTGCTAGAAGACCGTCCACATTCGTGGTACGAGCAGGAGCAGCGGTGATCAGACGTTCGGCCAGACGACGCAGTTCGTTCAGACGCTGAATGACCACTCCAGCCTCGGTATTCGTCCCTGACTCCGGAGTTGTGGACGAATCGGTGGCATCCGCGGGTGGTGGTTTACCAGTCGCACCCAACTGAATCGCTTGAATGGGGGGTAAATTTCGACAAGATAGCAGGTCAGTTTGCCAGTCCATCAGTTGACGTCCTAGTCGCGTTAGTCGTGTGCTCACTCGTCGACCAGCGACGGCCGGATCGGCCGTCGGACAAAGATCGTCGCACACACCTCGTGAATGAGACTCAAGAGTGCGCAATTGTGCAGTGAGACGGTCTCGAGCATCTTCCAATTGTTGCCAATTCTCACAAACAGCCTGCACATGAATCAGATTGGCCTTCAAACGACCTTGCAACTTATCACATTCCGCATTCAAACGTGCCGTATCGACGAAAAAACTGAACGGCTCTACTTGTAAAGTTCCACTTGTGGCAGCTTTCGTTTTTCCGAACGACCAATTATCCTCTACACTAGTGACAAACATTAGACCAGCAGAAACTGAAGTTGTGTCCAACTCTTTTGTTTCCAGTGTACTGTCGAATATTCCCTCTTCGTATTGGATATCGAGACCTTCGAATTCGAGAATTTTGATTTGAGTACGCCAAGAATTAATGGTCTCCTTCAGGCTTATCAAATCGTTACGCAACCGGAAGTATTCGTCTTGGAATTGTTTCCCGGAATCATTGGATTGTTCTTCCTCAAGCAATGCCTCGGGATCATCAAAACGTTCACTTATTGGTCGTTTCGTTTCGGCTGTGGTGAGCGATTCTGACTTATCTTCAGTAATATCTTTTTCACTAGTTTTGTCTGTGGTAACCGTCCTGACAGTCCCGTCCTCATTCGCGGCATACTTTTCCTTTAGTTTCTTCGCTGTAATCAGATCCACCGTATCCGATGTGTTGATAAATGCTTTGACGCGCATATCCATCGTTCGTATTTGTTCCCGCCATGCGGAACGGCATCGTTCGTAGTCTGCCGCTGATTGACACGCAGACCATCGTGTTGAAACACGTGTCACTAGACGCTTTAGGCGACCAACCAACCGCTTGAGGCGTTCGCGTAATGCTCGACTGACTTCGTCTGCCGAGTCAAAACTGCCCAGACGACCAGATACTTCAAACGAAACGGAGCGTTGACTACGCAAGCGAGTGCTGGTTGGTCGATCCGGAATATTACTCCCGGGACGACTGCTACTGCGACTTGACAGTGAATTCAAATCGACCTCTTCACCTTCAGCTTGGAACGCGATCTCCTTCAACGCAGCCAATCGGGGACCCTTGGCCTCGGTGTAGATCCCGTACAATTGGTTCAATGCTTCGGTTAAATCAACTCCAGTGGAGTTTGGATCTGTGAGAGCCTTACGTTCTGTGTGAAATAGAGGAGGTAGGGTGGGAGAGAAAGAAGACAGCGATGAAAATTCGTGGTCACATTGCCCACTCGGGATACACGGAACACACAACTATAAATGTAATTATTCGGCATCAATGGATACCCCCGATACAGATAATGGAACCAATAGCCTTAGAAAGCCTTATTGAACCGAGCCATAAAAAATCGGCTAAAATTCCAAAGTAGAATGTCAGAGAGAGAGGGGGGAGGCAAATCAGAAGTTCTTTCTTGCTGAGCAGATAAGCGAGTGTATCCGCAACCAATCAACGTCAATATCGCATTACCCGAGAGGTAATGCATTCGAACCCCACCATCGCCATCTAACTTTCATCATTTTGAGTTGGAGTGGCTTTCCGCCATTCCATTCAGGCGACAACCGTACACTCGGGAAGCACTAGACTCAAGTTTCATTCTGCTTAGGGCTCATCAGTGCACATCTATCGTCCCGACCGAGATTGAAACTTCGTTCCCATCATATGGAAGACGTGTTTTGCAACCACTGTGTCAATCAGCTCACAATATAGAGCTGACTAGAATTGCAAAGGTCATTTTTCCTCGGTTTCGTCCTCCATGATAGTCGGCCAGTTCAATCTGGCCCAAGACCAACGAAAGGAGGCACAATAGACTATCTGTTGACTTCATTCGAAAACATCCAAGCAAATCCGGTCTTCCATGCAGGTTTGAGCTAACCTATATTAATCTGGATTTTTAATTCACATTTACTTGGGCATACTGGTGTGGAATGAGTGTTGTCTAGGCCAAATGACGACACGTGAACCAACGTGAGTTGGCATTTCTGATCGGCTTTGGTGTGAGCTGGTTGGCACAAGAGTGACACACACAAGCCTACCACGCGGTGGAACAAGAGGGAGGGTGAGTTTTCACTACTGATGAGCTCCACGGAGAGTGAAATTCAATTCCAGTGCTTGCCGAATTTACGGCCGACTGGATGGACAGAGGATTGTGAGTGAAGACGGTGTCTGAAGAATGGTCAGTGAGAAATTAAAAACCACACTCGGATAGAACGAACGTACCTGAACTGGCCGATTTCAGTGCGGAACTCGGGGCCGGAGTTTCAGCAGTCACCACACTGATCGGTGGTCTGGCCGCTACCCAAACCCGGGTGAGTTTGGTTAACCGTTTCTCGGCCACAGTAAGCCATTGAGTCAGTTTATCCATGTCTCGAAACAGGCGATCGCGTGCATCCAATTGGCTGTCCAATTCCTCGTTCAGCTTTTCCCAACGCGCTTTCAAACGTCTTGTACGTTCCTCCAATTCCCGATAGCGAGTGGCTACGGTGTGTGGACTGGTGGACAAACCGATCATCTGTTGCTGATACTGCGCACTATCTGAGCCACGACTCTCGGATCGAATGTAACGAGTTCGACGTGTGCTTGTCCCTGTTGCGCTTGTAGCACGTGGTTCGGCCGAATCGATCGGGGCACACATGACATCAGCTTGTTTGTTCAACTGGATCAGCAACTTCTCTGTTAAACCGGTCAGCGATTTGAGTGACGCTTCGGCCGACTGGATACGTTCTTGGCCCAAACGCATTCGACTGGTTCGGGTTTCCAAATCGGCCATCCGTGAAGCACCTCCAGCCACCTCAGCACCAGATTGTCCAGTTGTAGCAGTACCTGATTCATCTGTCCCTGATTTGCGTTCTGTGGATAAATCGCGTATGTCTCGTTCCAACTCCACATCAATATTGGTCAGTTTGGCATTCAACTCATTTGCCTCCCGATTCCACGTCTTCCACAATGCATGCAATTCGTCCAAGTATTGGCGTTCTTCCAACAACCAGTGATTTACGTTCTCCCAACGTTTGAGCAGTTGTTCGCTGGAATCCTGAAACCGAAAATACAAAGTTTATCGAGCGAGGAACAGTCTGGATCAAGTTGGAAACATAATCATAGAAGACTGATAGATGAAGATTACTAAGCCGGTTTTATCCACCCAAGCCCTCCCACTCCTCGTGTATGCCGCGATCATATATGCAAATACAGGAAACTATCCAACTAACCGCTCCGATGATCAGACTATCGTTACAGAGAGGGCAGTTTAACAATTGATCAAGTAAATACAATCGCTTAGGCGTGTGATAGTCAGAGCAATAGAGATGCAAATCGATAATCTCGCGTACAATTAATTCAACCTTGCCCTGCTGCCAAGTCTTTGAAAGAGAGAGAGAGAGAGAGAGAGAGAGAGAAACGCAGGGGATACGGAGTTCATTGTTAGCAGTGACAGTTGATGAGCCAGATAGTCGTTTGAAAGGATAATATGTGAGTAGTCTGCGTGTATATGTGTTTTGTAATCATATCACGTGCAACGACCGTTGATGATGTGACCAGTCTGGGCCATGACCAATTTTCGTTCACACATATTAACTTCCTCTAGGGATTCATGCCATGCAGTGCATAACCTTCGTGATCTCTGTGATTTTTAGCCTCACTCATGCTATTTTAGCCTCAGAGCAAGGGTTTTAACCTTTGCATCGAATTTCGTACGGAATCACACAAACAGAATAAAATCAGCAGCAGCCTCAAGCAGATTAAATTTTGCAGACAGCTAAATTATGTCGTCACTATCAGTATGGACAAATATGTACTTCTATGTATATCTAAAATCTCGTCTAAAGTAATACAATCGAATTGCGAAAGAGCAAACAGGCATGGTATGATATCTGGATGATAAATGCAGAAAATCGGATTAGCTGAGCTGAGCACAGTTGATCAAAAGTCGCTCTCTCCGGATTACTTGAATAACAGTCGATCGTAATCTCACAACAGACTATTTGTATTTGGTTCTGTGCGGGAAAGGCACACAAAACTCTACAAATTTCGCGAAACATTGGATGTGTTTTGCTTGCTGTTGTATCATTATTGTGACTCATTTCACATGTGCAACGATATCTCCGCCCCGCCCCGTCCCGTCCCACCCCGCCCAGTCCCTCCCCTACTTTTCCATGCAAACTGTTGTGCTTATCATTGTCGAGCCGACGGAGCATGATCGATAGCATGTGACGAGTCCGACTGAGCCTTGTGACATGAATGGCCTTGATGCAAGGCGCACAGACCATAATGTAAGGCTTTCTTCTTCTGGAAAAACAAAGTTTGCAAATTCACAGTGGAAAAAAACTGACTTGAGCGATTGCATGTTCGCGTGCAGAAACTTGTGGATCCTAAGGAAGTATTCCCTGTATAAATCTGTTTACTAATGCAGCTGTATTTCACCATGTTCATATTACCGGAGCCCCTTTTTCTCTCCTCTGCACGTATAAACATACATATTGCTACAAATTGAGCCCAGAAGCCCAATTACCATTATTTCTTAAGATTGATCAATCAAATATTCCATCGTACAGTAGCCCTCGATATAGATAAGACACCGGCAATCAAGTAATGAGAGCAAAGAACCCAGTAACATCCAAATGGTTTAACAAGCGAATCCCAAAGGAGTAACACAAAGATAAATAAAATTTTGTTACCAGTCAGATAAAATTCAAATTCACATGACCCACATCAGAATTTAGTTTAATTTATTTTAATCTATGGGAAAGAGGATTGTGACTACGAATTCCCGTGACTTTTACCGCTTGAAAACAGGGATAAAAGCGTTGCAAGTTAAACATTTATCTGGAAAACAAATAATGAATTCACGAACGAACCTTCAAACCGGGCCACATATTCAAACGCAAGGCCAAGGCAGATAGCTCCTCACGCATTTTCACAAACTTGGCCTCGTGCTCCATTTGTCGTTTGATGTGTGCCTCGCGTCTAGCCTCCAACTCGGCAAACGTTTCGGGGAACGCGGAACGACTGAACGTCTCCGATTGTTTTTCCAAGTCTGCGACCTCGGCATCAAATTCGGGAACCAATTCCAAGTAACGCCGAAGGTGACCACCCAGCTGTTCCAATGATTCTGTGTGCGCACGGAACGCTGTGGCCAAGGCAGATTGTCGTTGATGCAAACCGATCAATTTGGATTGAGCACGAGCCACTTCTCGGCTCATATGCTGCGGGTCGCCATGATACTGATCGACCGTATTCAGTGCAGTCAAATCAGTGAACATAGCGTCCAAATTGTTCAAACGTTGTAGAGCCAATTCAATATTGCTTAGCTCCGAGGCGGCTGAACTGGTCCAGGCGGTCAATTCGGCCAGAGCAGCTTTAGCGGCCGATTCGCATGCACCCACTTCCCCCGCTGGCACATTCCCGGAACTTTCAGGTTGGACAGCCGTGACCTGGGCCAATTTGGACTCGGCTCCGTCCAGAAATCTATCAAACTCCGTTGAACTGGTGTAGAACACTTCCCATTTACCTTCTGCTGCTCGCAAACGAGCCAATCGCTGCATCAAATCCTCACGAGCCTTCCGCAACTCAGCCTCCAAGCGTTCGATAGTCGAATCGATTTCGGCGACTCGTTGTGCGCTGGCTCGAGATTTTATGGTTTCCGCAGCTTGTTTCAGGGCTGCCAGATCCGCCTCTGCTGCTTGTAACGCATTGAGTTGCGCTTTGACCACCTCGGCTTGAACACGTACAGATTCCTGCCCGGCGCGTGTGGCCTCTTCCACACTGGCCGCGATCGCACCCATTACACCGGAAGCCAGAGAAGCGTTTGCCCATGCTTTTGTGGCCTCATCTATCCCTAATGTTGAACAGATAGCGTCGGTATCTGCTTCGTCCGATTCAGAACCCAACGCCATGGCTAATGCAGCCGCAGCGGCTGCACTAGCCGAACCAGTAACCAGATGTTTGGTGCCCACCAGTAGATCAGTCAAGCGTTGTTTGTGCTGCTCAAATGCCTCCAGTGCTTCAGCTGTCTGACGGAGACTGGTTAAGCCCAGCTCGGCGTATTTATCTACTTCAGCCCATGTGGCTCTCAATTCATTCTCACTTGGCTCAATCCAATCGACCATCTCACTTGCTTTCACGCCCAAACTGCGCTGAAGCATGGCGGCCAGACTAGCATCCCGTTCCTCGGCCAGTCGAGCAATCATGGCCTCGCGTTCTGCCAGAAGGGTACGAATCGCATCCAAATCGGTCGGAAGTGATTCAAAATCCTCTTGAACGGCTTGTTCAACTGCAGCCCGAACAGTCATTGCTTTGCGTTGTTCGGTGACCGCATTAGTGAGTGTTGGAAAGAGAAAGAGAGAGTCACCACAGCGATGAGTAGGAGCAAAAATCAAACATCAAACCTGACCTACTTCACTCCGCGATCTCTATTCCAGGGGATTCCTTTCATTTCGAGGAAGATGGACTCTCAATGAATGACTTACACATACTTCAGTTAGACACATGATTCAGAAAATAATGGTCTGGTACTCCTACATCATATTCTGATGTACAGTAGAGTTTATCTTATATCAGTATATATATATATATATATATATATATATATCAGTATATGTCA